TAATAATAATAATAATAATAATAAGAATAATAATAATAATAAGAAGAAGAATAAGAAGAAGAATAAGAAGAAGAAGAAGAAGAAGAAGAAGAAGAAGAAGAAGAAGAAGAAGAAGAAGAAGAAGAAGAAGAAGAAGAAGAAGAAGAAGAAAATTAATTTATGAAAAAGAACTCAATTTTCGGAGTCGGAGAACCCAGAATAACCGATCTCATAATTGCATGTAAAATGCTGGAAAACAAACACATTAACAACAACAGAAGAAGACAATTAATTTATGAAAAATAACTCAATTTTCGGAGTCGGAGAACCCAGAATAACCGATCTCATAATTGCATGTAAAATGCTGGAAAACAAACACATTAACAACAACAAAACAACATACACATCCGTTGCAACGCAACTCGATCCCACGTACACGCTCAATTCTCCCTTATTTTATCATAACATCATTTATCGATATCAAGAATCATATATAAAATCCGTTTCGACGTGCAACCCGATCCCACCATATTATCATAATCAGTGTCATAAGCCTCATTTATTTCATCATGCCGCAAGCGTTACAACGTTCAACCCGATCCACAAACAATTTCAACATATGTAATCAATCCAACAACTCAATTTACGAGAATCTCTATCATTAAGGAATATGAAAGCAAAGAAATAAAAGAACCATATACTAATCAAAGAAATGCTACAAATAATACATTAGCAACATGACAAGTCAAGTAAGTGAAAATTAAGGAGTGCAAGTAAGGCAATTAAGTCAAGTAGCAATAAATCACGGAGTCATGGAAGGGACGAACATTTCAATACAAGAATAATTAATGACAAGTAAAAAATTACGGCATGGGAAAGCAATTAAAGCATGTAACAGTTAAGGCATGGAGTGAGATGATTAATAAAATACGAGAAACATCTAGAAACAATTAATTTGATGACGCATATACACTTGTCACCTCATATATATTTTGTTTTACCCTCGAGCTCGATTATGTGATTAGTTTCGAAATCTAACCTCATTTGACGTCTAAATCTCAATTTTTTTAAAATTTTCAATTATATCCAAATTCCTAGTTTCTACCATGAAAGATCATAGATTAAAGGTTTAAAATCAATAGGTATTGGTGGAAATGGAAGAAAACAAGTTAAAATATGCTAACCTATAAAGTGGGGATTTAATATCTCATAAAAATTGTCTCTAGGCTGAGATCAAGCTTGGAAATGGTAAAAATGGGATAAATCTTGACTTTTAAAAGTTTTAAAGACTGGACATCAGGTGGTCTTTGCGTTCAGGAGACACCTAACGCGATCATGAAGTAGTAGTAGTTAAAGGCATTCTTATTCGCAAGCCACTCTTCGCGTTCGCAAAGGCTTACTCCCACCCGCCTTCGCATTCACGGTCCTTATGTTGCGTTCGCGAAGAGTAATGGCTAAGCTCCCTTCCCAAGCCCCATAATCTTACGCGTTCACAATGGGCTGGCCGTGTTCGTGAAGGGTAAACTTTAGTGCTTCACGGTCGCGACCATGCCATCGCATTCGCGATGAAAAAATTTTAAACCTATCCTAGTTTCACTTTCTCGATCGCGAGAACAACTTCGCGATCGCGAAGCACAAAATGACACACACCAGCAATAGTAAAACCAACATGTGTCTAAGTCAAAAAACCAATATGTAGCCTATCCGAAACTCACCCGAGGCCCCCAGGCTCAAAACTGAACATTCACACAAGTGTAATGACATCATATAAACTCGCTCGCCTGATCAAAATACAAAAATAATACCAACAACTACGAATCAGACATCAAAATATATGAAATTTACAAAGAATCTTAAGAACTTTCAATTTTACAACCGGACATCTGAATCACGTCAATTCAACTCCGTTTTGCACCAAATTTTGCACACAAGTCATAAATAGTAAAATGAACCTACACCATGTTCCGGAACAAAAATTCGAATCCGATAGCAACAAAGTCAACCTAAGATCAATCTTAGGAATTTTTTAACCTTTAAATTACTAGTTTTTAACAAATTATGTTAAATCAAGTTAGGGACTTTCAAATTCGATTCGAGGCATACGCTCAAGTTCCAAATCACGATATGAACCCACAAAGACTGTTAGAATACTTATCTGGGTCCCTCTACACAAAAATATTTACCAACTCAAATCATTTTAAGGTTAAATTTCTCATTTTCTTGAATTTTTCACACAAAAAGTTTTCCGAAAAAATACGAACTGTGCACGCAAATTGAGGGAGGCGCAACGGATCTATTCGAGGTCTCCGAACACAGAAATGAAGGCTAAAACTCAAAATGACCTAACGGGTCATCACAATTATGTTGTGTCTTGTAAGAGTATGCTCGTTAATCATTCATCATTCACCTAATATACGTGTATTGTAGACGCATACGTGTGGGGGAAGTTGAAGGGGCTATGCGCAGGATATATAGGGGTAAAGCGACCAACCCAGATGAGATTCTTGTTGAATTTTGGAAAAACGTGGGTAAGGCGGACCTAGAATGTCTCTCTAGGTTATTTAACATAATTTTTAGGATAAAGAAGAGGCCTGATGAGTGGAGACGGAGTGCTATGATTCCATTATACAAGAACAAAGGGGATATCCAGAACTGCAACAACTATAAGGGTATAAAGTTGTTACGATGAAAGTTTGGGAGAGAGTGATTGAAGGGAGGATGAGGAGGAGTGTGTCCATATTCAATAGGGGTATCAAGTTTTTAATCCATACGATAAAAGATTGGGAGAGAGTGATTGAAGAGAGGATGACGAGGAGTGTATCCATTTTTGAGAAACATTTTGGCTTCATGCTGGGACGGTCAACTACCGAAGCCATATATATTGTGAGGAGATTGGCTGAGCAGTATAGGATGGTGAAGAAAGATTTGCATATGATGTTCATTGGCCTAGATAAAGCTTATGCCAAAGTCCCGAGAGAGGTCCTATTGAGATGTTTGGAGGCTAAGAGAGTATATGTAGCGTATATTACAGTGATCCATTATGTGTATGCTAGAGGTAAGACACGGGTAAGGACAGTAGAAGGAGACTCCGAGTACTTTCCGGTTAAGATGGGGCTGCATCAGGGATCAACACTTAGCCCGTTTTTGTTTTACTTGGAAATGGACGCATTGACGTGACACATTCAAGCGGAGGTGTCTTGGTGCATGTTATTTGCAGATAATATAGTACTGATTGAGGAGACGAGCGGTTGCGTTAACAAGAGGCTGGAGGTATAGAGACATGCCACAGAATCTAAGGGTTTCAAGTTAAGTAGGACCAAGACAAAATACTTATAGTGTAAGTACAGCGGTGCTACCTAGGAAGCAGACTGGTTTCAAGCATCTAGGTCTATAATTCAAAATGATGAGGATGTCACACATCGTATCAGGTCAGGGTGGATGAAGTGGAGGCTCTCTTCCGGTGTCTTCTACGATAAAAATATGCCCTTAAAAATTAAGAATATGTTCTATAAGGTGGTGATTAGACCGACTATTTTGTATGGTTCAGAGTGTTGTCCGGTCAAGAACTTCCACATCTAGCAAATGAAAGCAGCTGAAATAAGGATGTTGAATACTATGTTAGATAAAGTTAGGAATGAAATTATTTGGGATAAGGTAGGATTGGCCTTTGTGGAGAATAGGATACGAGAGGTGAGGCTGAGATGGTCCGGGCACGTTAAGAGGAGAAGCATAGATGCCCTAGTTAGGAGGTGTGAGAGGTTAGACTTGAGGGTAAGAGTAAGGGTAGAGATAGGCCAAAGAAGTCTTTGGAGAGGTGCTCAAGCGGGACGTGGCGCAGCTTGAGCAAACTAAGGACATGATCCTTGATAGGAGGATGTGACGGTTGAGGATTAAGGTTGAAGGTTAGTAGGTAGACACGTGTTTTCCTCTGTCTTCAGTAGTTCATTAGTATTAGCATTATGATGGTACCCTTTTATCCCGAGTTTGCTATTATCGCATATCTTGTTATGTTATTACCTGTCACTAGTACTTTCTTAATTTGCTATCAATACTCCTTCATATTCTCTATTGCTATCAGACCTCGGGTTTAGTTTCTCTAAATAGATTGTCTTGTTATTACTTGCTATAAGTACTTCTTTTATATTCTTTATTGCTATATTGTTTTCCTAATATATTGTCTTGCTATGTATTGTTATCCATTCTTCTTCCATTCTCTTTAGCCAATGGTCTATCGAAAATAGTCTTTTTGCCCTCCTAGGGTAACGGCAAGACTGCGTATAACATACCCTTCCTAGACCCCACTTGTGGGATTTCACTGGGTTGCTGCTGTTGTTGTTTTCATTCACCTAAATATGAAAGTCTTACTAATCCAAGTGAGATTTCTCAGTCGGGGAGCGTTGCTGTAACTGGTAAAATTGTTGTCATGTGACCAGGAGGTCATAGGTTCGAGCAGTGGAAACAGTTTATTGCAGAAAATACAGGATAAGGCTGCATACAATAGACTCTTACGGCCTGACCCTTCCTCGGACCCCGCGCATGTGAGAGCTTAGTAAACCGGGTTGTCCTAAATGATAATTCCGAGAGATCTGAATAAAACAGGAAAGTCAAAAGAAACAGAATATTTCCATGTCTATAATAACGTTTTTTTATTTTTATTTTATTTCCATTGTCTTCTCTTTATGGGTTATTGACGAATATGAATATAGCTGGTGAGAATTCCAGAATACTTTGTCAACTATGTTGTGTTTTTACGCTTCATTAAGTGAATATATTAAAGAAAATTTATCCGTAGTTTTTTAAATGTTGTTGATACAATCAAACATTTCTATAATAGTCGCATTTGATCCGATATTTTTTGGATGCTCTAATTAAGTAATGTTATATAGAATATATATTATAATATAACATACAAGATCAGTTCCGCGAAAACTTGACTTTTATTGTGACTAATTATTATATAGGAATATTATAATGGAGAGATCTCACCGTATATCTTTTGCGCTTAATGTATTTTATTGCAGAGTGCACCTATGCAAGATCTAGAGGGTTATGAGCTTGTTGGCATGACGTTGGAGTATCGACGGGAGTGCAGAAGGGACAGTGTACTACAATCTCTCACATCCGTATTGCAAAATGCAGTTGGTAATTTCGCCAACCCCAGCAATGTCGAGTGTCAACATTTGCTTCGTTTGGAGAGTGGTGAAGACGTTGTGAAGGGAAGGACTGAATGGAGGCCAAGATTTGCCAACATAACTAAGAATTGGGTACAAGAATCTGAAAAATACTCCCATGATCTTCATTCTTAATTGCGTATATTTTAAATGCGATTTATAAAGTCACATTTTTCAAATACGACATACCATCTTAACTAGCTTATAAGATTGAGTTGCTGCACTTCGTTCGTTCCTGAGAATATTCTAATAGTTTTTCCCAGGTAATTTTGACGAATCGGGCCGGATACGAGGAGGGTGTTGAACCGGTTGGACAAAATACCAGGGAACATGCAATCAAACACTGCCCTAAAAAAATGAAATGGAACGTAGTAACAAAGAAATAATTAAAAAGAAAAGATATATAATATAATGTCACTTAAACATAAGGATGAAAATTATATTGCAAACGTAAACAAGACATACATAATTAAGTTCTCAGATAATTGTAAAAAAAAATGACATGACCATCCATACCCATAATAAAGAAGTGAATGGAGATTTTTGATATATTTGTTCTTACTACCAACACAAAACTATATATTATACAATACTCCTCGGAATCCTCCAAATCCGCCTCCTCTAGATCCTGGAAGTCCTGCTCCTAGAAGTTTGGTGTCATTTTCCTCATTTTTCTTGTCGGATAACTTTTTTGCAAGAATGTAATAATCATGCATATGCATGTTAGGTTGATAATTAGCTACACATTATTAAAAAAATTATTAGTTACAGGAGATTTAGCAATAGATCAGGGACGAAGTGGTAGCGAATTCCTTTTTTTTTTTGGTAGTAGACTTTTTAGATAAATGTAGTTATTAAGAGCAGAAGTTAATTAATGCAAAATAAATCAAGTCCGTAATGACCATAAACATAAGAAAATACTCCATCTTTTTGTATAGCATTGTTAATAATGTGAAGTTTATGAGTTCAAGTTTGGGTTGCTACCAGATTCATTGTAACGACCCGACCGGTCATTGTTAGCTCTAGCGCGCCATTCAGCAGTTTGTGGCCATGAGCGGCTTCATTTCAGGTAATATGACTTGTACGCGTGGTCAGAATTAAATTTCGGGAAGTTCATAGTTGATCTGGAAAAAATAAATTTTTATTTTGGAAGCATAAAGTTGAAAGAATTAGCTAGGATTGGATTTTTGAGTAAACGACCTCGGAATCAAGATCTGAAGGTTCTAACAGGTTCGTATGATGATTTCGTACTTCGGCGTATGTCCGGATCGGGTTTTGGACGACCCGGGAGCGTTTTGGCACCTATTGCAGAAGTTAGCATTTTGGAAAAAATTTCATAAGTTTGGATTGAAGTGCATTTCAGGGATATCGATGTCCGTTTGGGATTCTGAGTCTGGGAATAGCTCCGTATGGTAATTCTAGAGTTGGGAGCGCGATCGCAAGTGAATTCGGAGGTCCGTAGGTCATTTTGAAGTCATTTGGCTAAAGATAGAAAATTGAAGATTTTTGAGAAGTTTGACCGGAAGTGGACTTTTAGATATTTAGGTCTGGAGGTTGGAGTAGGTCTGTAATGTCAAATATAACTTGTGTGCAAAATTTGGGGTCAATCGGACGTGATTTGATAGGTTTAAACATCGAGAGTAGAAGTTTGAAGTTTTAAAGTTCATAAAGCTTGGATTGGAGGTCGATTCATGATTTTAGCGTTGTTTGATATGATTTGAGGCCTCGAGCAGGTCCGTAATGCATTTTGGGACTGGTTGGTATGATTGGTTGGGATCCCCGGGGTCTCGGGTGGATTCCGGGTGGTTAACAGATTGAAAATGGAATTTTTGGAAGACTGAAGTTGCTGGTTACTGCCATAAACGCATTTGCGATAATTGGGCCGCATATGTGGAGCTGCACAAGCATCCAGAAGAGCCGCATATGCGGTATTGGCTGAGGAGAGTTGGGACTGCAGATGCGATCATTTATTCGCGAATGCGGGACCGCACCTGCGGTGTAGAAGACGCAGAAGCGGAAAAGGGCAACCTGGTGAGGACCGCAGAAGCGGTATTTGAACTGCACCTACGGAATCGCAGAAGCGGTCAAGGGACCGCAGGTGCGGAACGTGCTGGAGGCAGTGGGTTGTTTTAAAGTCGGGATTCGGTCATTTTTCTCTCATTTTTTCTTGGTAGGGACGATTTTGGAGAGCTTCAAGTGGTTTTTTTTATCATCCACGACAAGGTAAGCTAACCCCACCTATCTTGAGTTAAATATATTGATTTTGTATGAATTTTAGCATGTAAATTGTTAGAAATTTGGGGGTTTGAGTAAAATCCAGGAAATTCGTATTCTTGGATATTTACCACGATTTAAGGCATGGAATTAAGAGAAAATCATATATTTGGGTTCATGAGTTAATGGGTAAACTTTATCTTTGAGAAATTTCGGAATCCGGGCACGTGGGCCCGAGGGCATTTTTGTCAACTTTTCGATCAGAGTTAGGAACTATTATAAATTGGATTGTAATGAATAATTGAACATATAGTAATGGATTCACATAATTATTGGCTAGTTTTGGAGTATTGTACATTGATTCGAGTTTTCAGAATGGCGTGGAATGCCGGTTAGGGATCTTCGGAGCAAGGTGAGTCTCCTTTCTAACCTTGTAAAAGGAAATTGTCCCCCATAGGTTAAATAATTGGTTATGTGCTCCTATTTGTGGGGGATACGTACGCACGAGGTGACGAGAGTCCGTGCGTAGCTACTATTATGCAATTGTCCGGGTAGTTTAGGGCCCAAGAGCATGTTATACTTGGATTATTTGTGAACTTATTGACAGCTTGAATTGCTTAAATCACATTAAATTAGTAAATAAATTTCTAAACCGATTAAACTTCATTTTCTTAAGTGGTTAAAAGATGATTGGCTTTCTTTGGAGAATTGCTCCGTGTAGACTTCTTGGTTGTCTGTCTTTGTGTATTTATTTTTGGAGCGGGCCGAACGCCTCGCCAGATAAATAGATTTATCTATGGTTCGCACCGTTCGACCCTCGGCGGTGCATATTTCATATTTTTATTGGATCGGGCCGTACGCCCTCGGCAGGATATGCGCATGGGTGTATGGCTTGCCTAAGAATATTAAGTATGGATATTTGCCTTTCGTGCCCGATATAAATTAATAAAGATAATGAAAAGTAAATCTTGAAAATCCCTTATTATTTGAGAAGGTGTTTACCTGCTTTCCAGCTTCATGAGTTATAATTGCTATGTAAATCTATGATTTTTTCCACATATTCACTATATTATTATTGGGCCCCTAGCCAGTGTTAAAGTCGACCTCTCGTCTCTACTTCTTCGGGGTTAGGCGGGATACTTGCTGAGTACACGTTGTTTTCGTACTCATGCTACACTTACTGTGAATTTTTGTTGCACAAGTACATGTACTTCTAGTGGCCTACTGGGCGTAGCAGCGTGGATGATACGGGGACTAGGTGAGTTGCATTTCTCGAGGCGACCCGGGACTAGGTGAGTTGCATTTCTCGAGGCGTGGATGATACAGGGACTAGTATATTGATTCCTAGAAAGAGCTCATGCACTTGTGACACCCGGTTCTGGGATGTATTTGGGCTTATTCAGATTTTTTTTTTTAAATGTTGTTAAATGTTTCATTATTTATTCGGAGGAATCTACTATGTATTATTTTAAACGTATAAAAGAAGTGTTTCGAAAATATTTAAACGATAATTTACTTAAGTATTTTGATTGGCTTGCCTGATAGGGGTGTCCGGCGCCACCATTACCCTTATTGAATTTTGGATCGTGGCACTCATTTATTTTGTTGGATTTAAAATAATTTATTTGCACTCGTGTGATACATCATTTCATACAAATACAAGGTCCTAATGAAGCTACTTGGTTTGGATAATCCCATATAACTCACACTATGTAGACCCTTTGTTTGGCTGACAATGAAGTCCGAGAACGAAAAAAAGTTTATAAAAAATAATCAAGTCTAAAAGATACTATAAGAGACTTTTTTCCTTAATTATCAAAGTGATCATCAAATTAATCATTTTCATATATTGCATGTTTATTATGAGATTAACGTACAGATCATTCCAAAACAAATACCCCTCCATTTTAATTTATGTGAATCTATTTCCTTTTTAGTTCATGCTAAAAAGAATGATCCATTTTTATATTTGAAAATAATTTATCTTTATGTGATGATTTATAGTCACACAAAATATATGTGCCTCATTTTACATCACAAGTTCAAAAATCTTATCTTTTTTCTTAAGCTCCATAACCAATCAAACAAGTTCACATAAATTGAAATATAAGAAGTATAAGATTTGGCATCCTTTATTAATAATTTTATATTATGTAATAATATATTAAAAGTGGGGGACTTTCCGGGCCTAAAACAATTGTTTTAGTGGCTTTTCCCATAGCCGGCCTAAGCACAAGTTACTGCATATATTGAACAGTTGGTTTATTATGAAATTCAAGTTATTCACTCCAACATATAGATATATAAATTTTGGTATCCTTTATTAATGTAATGACCCGATTGTTCGTTTTGCACATTTGCACTTCGCTCGGTAGTTTACGAGCATGAGTAACTCCATATAATGTATTATGACTTGTGTGAATCGTTGGTTTTTACTTCCAGATTATTCAAAATTGATTTGGAAGAATGATTCTCAACTAGCAAGCTTCAAATTAGGAGAGTTGACCAAATTTGAATTTTTAGTTTTTGACCTCGGATTGGGGTTTTGATTGCTCCGTTAGCTCCGTTGGGTATTTTGAACTTAGGAGCATGTCAGATTGTAATTTGGAGGTCCGTAGTTGAATTTGGCTTGACTTGGCGAAAGTTGGATTTTTTTAAAAGTTTGACCGGAAAGGACATTTTTATTTTGGATTCGGATTGTGGTTTTGGGAATTGGAATAGCTTCGTTATGTCATTTGGGACTTGTGTGCAAAATTTGGGTTCATCCGAGTGTCACGACCCAAAATCGGACCCGGTCGTGATGGCGCTTCTCGTGAAGACAAGACCAGCCGACACAATTCCCCAAGTCAACCATTTTCCATTAAAAGTTGTTTTTATACCATTTATAAATCGTTAATCTAATAATGAACATTTAAAAGAAAAATTTGAAATAATTACACAAGCCCGACATCGAGGTGTCACTAGTCATGTGCAGCTACCAAGGTATGAATGCAACAAAAACAGTGAAATGTACTATGTACATAAATGAAAATGAGAGGAAGAAAGCGGTGCTGCGAACGTCGTGCAACCACCTTGTTAACTCTGATTACTTCACATCTGAGCAACCAACACCCGCTTCCGGGTTTCGAAATACCTGAATTTGCATACGAGATGCATGGAATAACGTGAGTAGTCCAACCCAGTAAGTAATAAGAGTAAATAAAGACTAAGCAGTAGGAAACAATGAATCCACATTTATGTTAAACTCAATAAGCACACAGGCTGCTAAATCAGAATACGAGTCAATCGCCTCTTTTAAAATCCTGCTTTTAGTAAAAATCATATAAAATGCCTTCCGACAGATTGAGTAGGGGTTCAATACCATTTTTGAATAAAAGAGCTGAAAACCATAATCGGACCCTCGGGCAAAACAGGAGTCACAAACACCTCCTAACAAGAAAATCTCAGTGGAAATAACAAAAATCAAATCAGTGATTAAGTTCTAAACACCTCATAAACCCCAACTTAAATGAAAGTTGTTTAAAAATATTTGTCTAACAATTTTGCAGAGGCTCGGTATAAAGATGAGTGAAAACAGTCAATAAATCAACATATTCGATAGAAACTCACTCTAAAGAGAAGTGAAAATCAATAAGTTCATAATCAGGCCTCTAAAGCAAACATCACTCATGTGCATGTATATATCTATCGCCCCTCGGGCTAGCCTCTTGATAATAGGTGAATTTTACTATAATCAGGCCCTGAATAACCACCTTCTTGTCTAGTTTTGATCACAAAAGTGATAACAAAAACATGAAGTCAGACTAGAAGGAGGACTACCGCGGTTCCACCGCGACCGCGGCAGAACTGCGGTAGAAGACTGTCGTAGACCACTGGAGATTCAGAAAAGCTGTGTGGCTGCAGTTTGACCGTGACCGCGGTAGAACCGCGGCAGAGGTGAAAAAGTTTGGGGACTAAAGTGCAAAATAGGGATTTGTAGCCCAAAACCCTATTTTAAACACTAGACTTCGCCCAAAGGAGGCATGTATTGATTTTTAGAGGTTCTTGACAAGGAAAACTATTGTGAGAGAATACCCAAAACATCTTTCTTCCTTTCTTTGATTTTTCTTTCTAGTTTATGATGAATATTAATTTAGTTTGCTTACCCATAGTTATGAGTAGCTAAATCATTGTCTAAGGTTTTGATGGAGCCTATTGAGGGATGAACTTATTGTTTATGTGAATACAAATTGCTAGTTTTAATCTTTATTTGTTCAACTATGTTCTTGTTGTAGTTAATTGACAGGATCCTCAATTAGCTGTGCCTATTTAGTGTGCATAACTCGGAAGAGAGTGCATGTTTAGGTTATTATTGAACAACACCACTCCTAAAGTATAAGAGGAATGTCACGACCCAAAACTCACTAAGGGCCGTGGTGGCACCGGACACAGCTGTCAGGCAAGCCAACCAAATTACTTAATAAAAATCTCGTTTAAACTTTTTTGAAATACAGGATTTTTCTTCTATATTTAGAAATTATGATAAAATATAGTTTCAAATCACATTTAGGAGTTAAACAAGTAATACAATATTTCAAACCATCCCAGAACCCGGAGTCACAAGTGTATGAGCATCTACTGATAAGCAAAATAAAAATACATCATCCATCCGGAATACAGTGGACGGAAAATAAATACAGTACTAGAAAGGGACTACCCTATCTGCGACCGTCTCGAATGATGCAGCTCATCTAGTCCCAAAATCATCCGTGCTGCTATGCCAGTAGACCACTGGAGCGACATATACCTGTGCAACAAAATGCACAACAAGCGTAGTATGAGTACAAAAACAACGTGTACCCAGTGAGTATCCCGCCTAATCCTGAAGGGGTAGAGACGAGATGGTCAACTTTGACACTCACTAGTAGTCCAATGACTAATTATCCTTAATAAATATATTAAGCAGTGGATTTGTTTTATAAATATGATTCTAACCCAGATAGAGGAAACAAGCAAACATATAATTATTTCATGGAAAGTTTCCTTAGATTCTTGTTATTATTGACAATATAATCTCGAGCCATAGTGTGGAATAAAACAACTTAAATGAGTTCAAGACAACAACACAAACATGCGCAAATCATGCCGAGGTCGTCGGCCCGCTCCAACAGAAATATAAAGTGTGCACTGCCGGGGGTCGAGCGGCCCGTACCTATATGCATCTATTTCACCGAGGCGATCGGCCCGTTCCAACGGAACTAAACACATACCATGCTCGCGAATCATGCATGCGACACAAGTACACATAAGAATACATGCTCAATCAATCAAATAAGGACTTATCCGGGAATATTTATTCAAATAAAATCAGTTCCCCTTATCAGTTTTAAGAAATGAAGTTTAATCCTTTTTGGAATTCATTTACTAGTTCAATTTGACTTAAACAATTCAAATGTCAACAAGGTTACAAATATTCCATGTATAACATGCTTTTGGGGTCCTAGTCTACCCGGACAATAGCATAATAGTAGCTATGCACGGACTCTTGTCACCTCGTGCGTACGTAGCCCCCACAATTAGGAGCACAAAATAAATTTAACTCACTGATGTTAATAAATGCCAATACCACACAAGGGGGGAGGGGGGATGATTTGTGTGGTACCTAATTTTTCGATCTAGAAGAACCTGGTTCTTCTAGGTGTTCTATTAGCTTATTGTTGCGGAATTAAAATAACATAAATAAATAACACAAGGAGTTTTACGTGAAAAACACCTGGCTCAAAAGGTGAAAAAAATCACGACCTACTACTCAGTAGGATTTTTCCAAACTTCCACTAAAATCAAAAGCCAAACAGCATTTACAAAAACTCTTTGTAAACCTAAGGATTAAACTCTAATCCCAGTGTGGAACATAGCCTCAGCTGCTGCGACACTATCAAGTTAACTCTTACTTGATTACACAAAATACCTATTACAATTGCTTCTAAGAAAGTTGAAAGGTACAATATGAAAACCTACTACAATAACTAGATATAAATACTCAGATGGAACTGGTTCTTCACTCTTAGTTCATGTAGCTTCTAGGCGTATACACTTGTAACTTGCATATATTGCTTGCAAACAAGACTCACTCTATTTTCTCTCAAATGTGCTTTACTTCTGATTGTGTGTGTTGCCTTTAAAAGAGAACTAACACAATTATATATTGAGTTAGTAGTTAGAGTTTGATTATAACTACACTTCTTATCCGTAGGCACTTTAAGTCCTTAGCCAATACAACCTCCAACTCTTATCCTAGCTTAGGATCAAGTTCTCTTCACATAAGGAGACTGTCCCCCTTATCCCAAATGCAACCTTTTCGATTACGTTCAGAAGATATTGATGCGTGATCTTTAGTGCATATCTTCGTCACGTGCTTCATATGTGCAACTGTTGATTCAGACTGTGGAGTACAAGATGGACCAGGTCCTTCCATAAGTTCATTTGTCGATCTTCAAAACTCCAACTGAAACTTGGGCCAACAATTTCCCCCTTTTTGATGATGACAAACTCTGTGCTTATTGTGAGCAGGAAACCTATGAATCCTCAGTTGAAAATCAACACTTAGAAAATTTTAATCTATCGTTAAGGAGGTCAGATTTAGGTCATAAACATCACTAGTTCAGATAATGAATTTTAAGCACAATATCTTCCCCTTTTTGGCATCATCGAAAAGTTGCATAAACACTGTAAATCCTGAAAGTTAATAATTACTCATGGCCACTGGGGCAACTGCAAGTGAACACATGTTCAAGTTAATAAAAAAACAGCTCAAAATTAACTATTTGATTAAAGGGGTGTTTCTACAATGCAGTTCACCAAAAACAAACAAACTATCAACCATGAGCAAAAAAAAAAAAAACAGAATAAGACAGACCAAGACTTTCTAGATTTGAAACTGAAGGGATACTAGACTAGACACTGAGGACAGGACACCTAAGGCTTGAAAGTGCTGGAGGGTTGGGCTTGTAGCAGATTTAACATTTACTGGAGCATGCCTTCATTTTTCTCCTTTTCTTTGGCAAGTTCAACTCTCAGCCCATTCCTTTCTCCCTCCAATTCAGCAATTCTGGCATTGAGCCTTGCTAGGACTAGTACTGGGCAAATAGTCACATGCTTGAAGGATCTTGATGCCAAAGTGTTCCTTGCTGGATGCCATTTCCCATCTTTTAAAGGGAACATCTAGTCGTTCAAGCACAATTGTCAAAATAAACCCATAGGGAATGGCATGAGCCTTTGAACCATTCATTACCCTTTCAAGCAACTTCACAATAAAGACATGCCAGTTGATCTGCTTCCCTTCATTCATACACTGCATGAGTACCAGATCCATATAATTTGTTGTATGCCTTCTCTCCTGTCTGGGAAGAAGGCATTTGTTGACAAACTCAACGAGCACTTTATGCTTTGACCTCATCTCACTTTTCTGGACTGCCCTAGCCTCAGGCACTTCTTCATCTGTTTTGGTGTCACAAAAATTTCTTGTGATTTGCAGCTCAGAGGGCAACCCATCGAAACAAGGCCACCTCTGCCTTGTGCAGTCATCGTACCCCTCACAAGGGATATCTAGAATCTTGCCCAGCTTTGCAGTATTGAATTTCACTTTGACACCCTTCACTGTACTGGTTACCACACCATTTTTCACTATTCCATTGGCCATGAACTCCACAAGTTCCTTTCTTGACAATTTTCCTTCAATCTGAAGGACTATGTCCTTCCAGCCCTGTGCTCCCAATGCAGTCAGTAGTCTTATCTTGCCTGGCTCCTCCAGGTCTTTCACTAACCTACCCTTCAGAATTTTTCTTTTGACATTGTTTGCATACCTATCCTGCTCATTCTCAGATTCATCTTCTTTCTCTTCTTCATCACTCTCTTCTTCTTCTTCAACCATTTTCACTTGTTTGCCTTTAGAAGCAGACCTTGTTCTCTTGGCAAGGGAGGACTCAACAGGTACTGGCTTTGAGGGCTTCTTGGCAGAAGTCCTGGTCTCCTTTGAATTTGCTATAGGAGCCTCTTCAGTAGTATGTTTCTCTGGATGGACCAATTCCATCACCTCGTCCTCCTCCTCAGCTACAGCTTCTGAATTCTCACCAACCTTCCCTTTCCCCTTTTCTTTTCTTTTTCTCTTACTCTCCTCTAATGCCCTTTTCAACTCAGCTTCACTCTCTCTAACCTTGCTTCTTGTTGTTCTAACCCTAGGAGTGGCCTTGGGTGATGCATGTTTGGATTTCTTAGTTGGTTTTGAAGCAGAAGGGGTCCTTAATGAGGAAGCCTTGCGTTTCTTGGGATCATAACTACCCCCAACCTTCTTCATCATATCAGCCAAGGTCTCCTCCACAAATGGACTAGGTTCAACAGGTTGTTTGCTCAAATCAACCAACCCTTCAGCAGCCTCTCCTGATCTACTTCCCCCCAATTGTGAGACCCCTACTTCCCCACTCCCACATATAGCTAGCACCTCCTTCCTCTTATTCTTTCTTAATTTCACAGAATCACTACCAGATACATCCTTAGCAGCCCGTATCAGAACATACCTACTTTCAACCTTTTCAACTACATCAACAGGAACAAAACAAGATTTTACATCTTTTGGGTTTTCTTGAGGTGTGACATTGTGAGAAGACCCAGGTTCATCTCCTTCGCTGGCAGATATGTATTGATCAGACTCAGAACTGGAATAAGTTTCTTTAGCTGAAGATTCTTTCCTTTGACTGGCCTTCAATCTTTCGTTTAGAGCTTTTCTCAAGGGACCAGATGCAACAGCTTTTCTTGCTATCAGTTTTGTCTTACGAAATCTTGGTTTTGGGGATTCACTAGTAGGTATGGAAGATGAGTTAGTGTTAGGTGACACATGTGGTGGAGTTTCAGGGTTGTCTTGAAGATTTGACATGGTGAGGAATTTCTGTAGAGCTTAAGAAAATTTTGGGAATTTTTGAGGGTTTGGAGACGAAGGTGGATGATCAGGGGTTTTGTGAGATAGAGTGACAGTTATGAGTTGCTAGAGGGGTTTCTAAAGAGAGGTAATAATTGTTTCAGAAACGGCAGCTTTTCAGGTGTCAGTAGAGGTCTAATAAACTTAGAGCTCCTGTCTCCCTAGGGATTAATTAGGATTAATTAGAATTGCTAAGGTTTAGGAGATAGAGTTCTGTTATACTTAGAATTCTAGTTTCAATGAAACTGGTTCACTTAGCCCTAACAGATAGAATATTGAAACGATTGGTGTTTGTAGGACTCTTACTCATGATTGAAGGTTAAATTTTCTGATTTGTGCAAAGTATAGAAACATACCTGACCTTCTCATGAGCACACATTGATGAACCAGGCTCTTCAAGTGAAACTTCTCTTGATTATGCCTCAAATGTCAGAATAGAAAATTTGCAAGAGATCAATGAATCATGTAACCACATGTCACAGGAGTATACTATTTACAGTATCATATTGCGTAAAAATCAGTCTAATATTAACAAGAATTAAGAACTCCTAACCAATTTTTTATTTTTTTTTATAATTTTTTTTCATTGTGCATTTTGAGCTTGACCTCTTAGGTGATCATAATCATCCTTAATTCCAACCTGTTCCTTTTAAAGTTTTCTCTACTTAGTGACTTGGTGAAGATGTCAGCTATTTGTTTATCACTGGCACAGAATTCTATGGAGATTAATCCCTTTTCATAGTTGTCTCATGAGAAGTGGTGTCTATCATCTATGTGCTTAGTCCTTTTATGATGAACAGGGTTCTTTGTCATACTGATTGCACTAGTGTTATTACAGAATATAGGTATGCATCCCACTTCAATTCCAAAGTCTACCAATTGTTGCTTGATCCACATCAACTAAGCACAACATGAAGTAGCAGCAAGATACTCAGCTTCAGGAGTAGAGAGAGCCACAGAATTCTGCTTTTTGGTAGCTCATGATACAAGACATGAGCCCAAGAAATGTGCCAGACCTGAGGTGCTTTTCCTACCCACTAGGAAACATGCATAGTCAACATCAGCATATCCAATCAAGTCAAAATTACTACCTTTCGGATACCATAAACACAGATCAGTTGTGCCCTTTAGGTATCCTAGTATTCTTTTGAGTGCTGTCAGGTGTGACTCCTTTGGATTTGCCTGGAAACGAGCATAAAGTCCTACACTGAAAACAATGTTAGGTCTACTAGCATTAAGATACAAAAGGGAACCAATCATACCCCTGTACAACTCTTGATCAACTGAAGAACCAGGTTCATCAGCATGTAACTTTGTGGCAGTTGCAATAGAAGTATCTATTTCTTCGGATTCTTCTATTTTAAATTTCTTGATTAGTTCTTTTGTGTACTTCTGCTGATGTATCATACTACCACTTGGACTTTGTTTGATTCGCAGGCCTAAGAAGAAATTGAGTTCCCCCATCATACTTATTTCAAATTCACTGCCCATTAATTTTGCAAAGTCTTTACTTAACCTATCTGTAGTAGCCCTAAAAATTATGTCATCGACATAGATTTGTACAACCAAAAGATCTTTACCTTTTTCCCTTAGAAACAATGTACTGTCAATCTTACCTCATTCGTAGCCATGTTCCAGTAGGAATTTGGACAACCTCTCATACCAGGCTCTTGGGGCCTGTTTGAGACCATATAGAGCTTTATCTAGCTTGTGCACATGATCAGGGCATTCCTTGCTTTCGAATCCTGAGGGTTGTTTTACAAACACTACTTCTTTGAGATAGCCATTAATGTAACGACCCCACCTGTAGTTTTGAGAAATTAAGCTCCATTCAGCGGCATAAGGTTTGGAGCAGCTTCGGAACATGAGTATCGACTTGCGTGCATGGTGGAATTCGTCCTTCGGATGGTTTGGAGTCGATTCTAGAGAAGAAGTTTGACCCACAATTGACTTTTGGGATATCGGGGTCGGAATGCGATTTCGAGAGTTGGAGAAGCTCCGTTATGTCATTTTGGACTTGTCCATAAAATTTGGCGTCATTCCGAGTTGAATTGATAGGTTTCCGCAAAGGATTTGATATTTGAAGATTTGAAAGTTCATTAGTTTGAGTTTTGGTTTGATTCGTCATTTTGATGTTTTTTTATGTGACTTGAAACTTCGAGCGAGTCCGTGTTAGGTTATATGACTTGCGTGTGTGATTAGACGGGGTCCCGGGGGTTTCGGGTGTGTTTCGGATGGGCTACAGACCCTTTCCTTGTAATTTTGAACTGCTGCTTCTGATATCCTTCTACGTGATCGCGAAGCTTCTCCCGCGGTTGCGTTGCTTTGTTGAAGACCACCTCGCAATCCTTCTTCACGATCGCATCTTTCCCTTCGCGTTCATGAAGCACTACATTCCCCTTCTTCGCGTTTGCATCTCTCTATTCGCGATCGCGATGCCCCGCATTCCTCTTCAACATGATCGCGTTCTCACCATTGCGTTCGCGATGAGCAATCTGGGAAGCCTTGAAATATCTTTTATGCGATCGCGTCCCTTCTCCCATGATCGTGATGCACAAATACCAGGGCAGACAATTTTAAATCCCAAATTCGAGGGTTCACCATTTATTCACATTTTTGACTTTATGGAGCTCGGTTCTTGGCGATTTTTGAAGGGATTTTCACCTGGGCAACTTGGGTAATGATTCTCACTCGATTTAGACCAACTTCCATGAATCTCATCTTAATTTCATCCTTTAATTTCACTTTTTGAATGTAAAATGGGTAGAACTTCATAGATTAAATTATTGAGTTTTGAGGGAGTGTTTGACCTCCGATTTGAGATATATTTATATGGTTAGACTCGTGAGAGTGCGAGGGTTCTGAAAATGTTAAATTCAACCGGTTCCGAGATGATGGCCCGAGTGGCGTTTTGGTCATTTTACCTAATTTCGCACTTTAGCTTTGAATTAAATTGTAGAATCAGTTGCTTGAGATATTATTTACAATATGTGATTTAATTGAATAGATTTGGGCCATTTAGAGTCGAGTACTCGTGGCAAGAACGTGGTTGCTAGTTGATTTTAGCCGGTTTTGAGGTAAGTATCTTGCCTAACCTTGTGTGGGGGACTTCCCCTTAGGTTTTGAGTCTTCTATGTTGATTGTATTCCTGGCACGCGAGGTGACGAGTGGGTGCTCGGATTTAGTTGTGGTAAATTGATCCTTTTAGACTCTTAGGACCTTGTAATCACTGAGTATGAAGTTGTTCTTGATATGATTGAGTTCCCTGTTGTTAGTTTCACTTCAACATGTCTTACTTGGAACTTAATTGCCCTTTTGGTTTATTCCTGCTGCTTAGTTGACTTCTACTTGTTAAACTGAAAATGTTTATCCTATTGTAGTCACGTTAACTCTCCAAACCGCTTGTCCCTAATTGGAAATCATTATCCTTACTTCTCATGAAATTTATCCGACCTTAATTGAAAAGAAGTTAGATATCCTAAGTTTAATTGATAATTTCCTAATTGTAATTAATTTTCTCATGTTAAATTCCTTATTGTGGGATACTCCTTGTTCGTAAATTCATCTGTGACTACGTGCAAATCTGTGATACGTCCGACTGTTGTGGTTACCGGTGTAGCTATCACGCACTTTATGTCTTGATATTCTTGCTGAGGTTGTCGTGCTTATTGGTTTTCTGTGATCCTTCTTTTGTATTGTTTATTCCCTTGCCGGGACGTTATTGTTTCATTGTTGTTTCCCTTGCCAGTATGTTGTTGTTCTTATTGTTGATTCCCTTGCCGGGACTTGTTGTATCTGCTGTTGATTCTCTTGTCGGGGTGTTGATGTTCTCTTGCTGTTGGTGTGCATTTACATTGGGACTATGGATGTGGGATTCCGGTAGCTCCCCCCTTGTCTGTTTACATTGCGATTACGGATGTGGGATTCCGGTAGCTCCCCCCTTGTTGTTTACATTGGGACTACGGATGTGGGACTCCGGTAGCTCCCCCTGCACTGTTATATTGAACTACAGGAATGCACCTGGTAGATTCCCCCAGTACTGGGTATTGATATGGTGGACTACGGGACAGTATTCTGGGAGATCCTTCGGATATGTATATACATGATGGACTACAGGCGGTATCCCGGGAGATCCACTGGATAGTTGAGAAAGGACTTGTAATGACCCGACCCGTCATTTATTGCTTTTCAATCCCGTAATCCCCGTTATATGTTTCCCCGTATGTTATTTTGCGTGTTTGGTGAGTTTGGAGTGGTTCGGGTGTGAATTGGATAGAAATGAGACAAATAGTCTCTTTATTGAAAGCCTAAGTTGGAAAAGTCAACCCGATGTTGACTTATGGATTAGAGAGCTCGGAACGGATTTCCGATGGCTCGACTAGCTCCGGATGATGATTTATGACCTGTGTGTGAAAACGGAAGTGAATTCGGAGGTCCGGAGTGAAAGTTAGCTAAGTTTGCCGAAGTTGGAATTTCGGAAGAATCCGGTTGATAGGTGAGAATTTGATCCGGAAGTCGGAATGGAATTCCGACAATTGCACTAGCTCCGTTAGGTGATTTTGGATATGTCTGCAAATTTTCAGGTCATTCGGAGATGACTAAGTCGGGTTTTTGGTCGGATGAGTAATTTGAAAGTCTAAGTTCATTTAGAATTGAATTCATTGAATTATGGTGATTTTTGATGTTTATGATAGCATTTTTATTGCCCGAGCAAGTTTGAATGAGGTAATAAGTCATGTTGGTGCTTTTGGTTGAGGTCCCGGGGGCCTTGGGGTGATTTCGGCTAGTTATCGGAATGGTTTTTGGACTTAGAGTGCTGCACATTTTCACTCAGCTGTTGCAGAAGAAATAACTCGATGCGATCACAGGGGTTCTATGCGATCGCATAGAGGGTTTGATGGGAGGAGGCCAGTAAAGCTATGCGAACGCGGAGTGTCGATGCGTTCGCATTGAAGGATTTTGGAGGTCAAGGGAATTGTGCTATGCGAACGCGATGAAGATACGCGTTCGCATAGAAGGAACTGGAGGCCTGGGACTTAAGGCTATGCGAACGCACTGGTTCTATGCGAACGCATAGAGGAAAAATGGAAGCCTGGAAAGAGCAGTGCTATGCGATCACATGGTGTGTATGCGATCGCATATGGTTATTAGATGCCTGGGCAGTGTCTTTTAATGAGCTTTTGTCCGCGAGCAAGGTCATAAAAACCTCCATTGTTGGACGTTTTGGAGAGCTTTTGGAGCAAAATGAAGAGGGAATCGAAGGGAATTGATTGGAGGTAAGTTTCTTGACTTAATAACATCATTTAATCATGGTTTTAGCCCTCAAATTTCTGAAATCAAATCAAATTGGGGAAGATTTAGGGCTTGGAATTTCAAATAAAGATTTGCGATTTGGAGGAGCAATCGGACTCCGATTTTGATGAACTTTATATGCACGTACTCATGGCGAGACGAGGATTCCGAAAATGTACGTTTTGTAATTTTTCGAGACGTGGGCCCGGGGCTCGGGTTTTGTGATTTTCGCGAATTGTGTTGTTTTTCGAGTTCTATTGATTGGGCTATGTTCCATTAGCATCATGTAACGGATTTGCTATGGTTTTTGGCAGATTCATCGCTCGGAGGTGTGGATTTGAAAGGAAAGGGCATTTCGGGCTAGTTTCCGGCCGGTTCAAGGTGAGTAATGGGTGTAAATGACTACTTGAGAGTTTGAAACCCCGGTTTATCACTTTGTGCCGCTATTGTGAGGCTAGACACGCACTCCAGGGTAGTGCGAGGTCGGAGGTGATGTGAATTGTGACTCGGTCCCAATCCGAGAGGTTATACTGTGCTGTGAATTAACTGTTTAGCATTATTATACTGTTGTTAGCTGGGCTTGACACTGTGTTTGGGGCCTTGTACCGACTTGTATAATCCCTCAGGGATTGATATGGGCTTGACACCGTGTTTGGGGCCTTGTGCCGACCTGTAGAATCCTTCAGGGATTTCTTTGACTGTATTAGCATGATCTGTCTATCGAATGATCTCAGAGCTGAACTCTGGCACTAAATTAACATGCTTTAGCAAAATTCTAGAATATTAACGAAAGGAAGGTTTTCTAATAATAAATGAAATTCAGGATTTCATAAATGAAATGGTTATTTGGCTTGACTGTATATGCACCGGATCGGGCTGCACGTTCCGCAGCAGTGTATATATTGGATCGGAGTGCACGTTCCGCAGTATCGGATCGGAGTGCACGTTCCGCAGTATTATGCGCTTGGGCTGTAGGAGCCCCTCCGGAGTCTGAAACCCCACAGTGAGCGCGGGTACCCATTGGATCGGGCTGCACGTACCGCAGCAGTCATGCATTGCATTGCATCATATGCATATCAGGTTAATCTATTGTCTCTGTAAGATTATTGCTGGGCACTGTTGTATGTAGAAATGACGAGGTTAGCTGTAATTAGTGCTCTATCTGGTTTTCT